GAAGCACAGTTCTACTCTGACAAACATGGAGTTGCCATTCGTCGGAATCAAATTGATGACAACTGGTGTGTGTGTGTGTGTCCGTGTGTGTATATGACAATGAGGGGGCAACTGAAGTCCAAAGCAGCAGGCCACACATGATGCTTGCTGTAGAGCTTTTGATAGCATTCATTAATTTCATTCAAAGCAACATTTATTGAGCACCTGTTGGGTTCCAGGCCCTGGGAATAGAGAGATGAGAGATTTCCTTCTGTCACCAGGGTCCCCTCTGCACAGGATATTTGTGTCTTAGTCGGGGCCTGTCAGTGTGAGCTACATGATACAGCTGCTCCCTCCTGCCCCCATGTGCTGTCTTCCTGAGTGCTCATTGCACTAGGTTGACTGCAAGTCCCAGGAGGACCCAGCTGGGGGCTAAGGTGCTGTTCCTCTCCAGGAGGTACTCTACACAGGTGCCTGCAGAGAAGTGATTATGACAAGCTTAGTCTCAGCAGCTAAGTTCACCTTGCAGATAACCCATCCCTACCCATCTCCACCCCTGCCTTCTACTCATCATGCCATACCTTCTCCCTGAAATTTACACTGTCTATATATTCCACTGGAAGACTGAATTTTAAACTAGACCTTGGGCCAAGATGAAACTAGGTAGCTGAATGTAGTTTGGAAACTGTGACCTCAGATTGCTTGTCAGTATCCCAGATTTCTCCAAATTCTCTTCTAGCTATAATAGTCTTTGATTCCACAATTAGGGCTTACTAAAGCATAGGCAGTATTACTATTAATTTTTATCATGCAATATTTATGTTCTTCATTTTCTTTATGATTTTCATAGAGAAGATTTTGTTGTTTTAAGGAAGAAATCTGTGTCATGTTTTTAAAGAAGAAATTTGTTTCAAGCTTCCTGTACAATAAGACTTCATTTGGCTCATTTGTGCTGATTAATGTCTACTCTCTTCTCCCTCCCACCCACAGTTTGGGGATACGGATTCCTGTCAGTGACGATTATTAATCTGGCATCTCTTCTTGGATTGGTCTTGACTCCAATGATAAAGAAGCCTTATTTCCCGAAGATTTTGACCTATTTTGTGGGGCTGGCTATTGGGACTCTGTTTTCAAATGCAATTTTTCAACTTATTCCAGAGGTAAGGATGTGAGCTATTTGCTTCTGTGAACAATTGTGTTTTTTTTAAATGTTTTAGTGCTTTGTACATTTTTAGCCTCCATAATTCTCACAGCATTTTATGATCTGGTTTATAGTGTTTTGAATAATAGAACGCTGAATCACAGCGAATATAAAAGCTTGTCCCAAGCTACAGTGGATGTCAGTGTCAGAGACAAAATTAACATTCAAGAAGGCCAACCACCAGACGA